AAATCTCAACACCTAGTAAAAAGAGCCCTTACCAAGCAATTGTTTTACAAGGTGCAGTCACATTACCAGTAAAGTTCCAGAACTTTACAATGGCTTTTATGCTGATGTAGTTATAATACTTAACTTCTTTGCTATGAAAAAAAATTCTCACAGGGTGTATTAATTAGCTTTACCAGTCATAAAAGTGTTTCTCTTTGCGGATTTTCACTTTTCTTCGTTGTATATTCAGACACCTTTTCCTCATTCCCCCTGCTGTGTCACAGATGAGGGGTGTAACATCAGAGGTCCATACTGCCTACAGCACATTTCCTTCAAATCAATTCTATCCCACTGGCCATAAACCTGTTTTTCTACTGCAAGATCTGAAACAAGTTGCCGCCTTTGCCTTATTTCACCTACTGGGCTACTGATGAGGGGTGTAACTTCAGAGGCGAGTTGCCGTTAGTCTCCCGCGTTGACCTTAATTCAATTACCAACTGTCTGGAGTGGATGCTGGAGAGCTGGTTACCATGGTAACTGCCCATCTGGCAGACACCTTTGCTGGCATTTCAGGTATAAGGTGGTCAGAAATGTCATTACCTTTATTTTATAAATTTATAAATTGGTGTGAGTTGTATATAATATTTCATTTCGAAATGAAGTGAGGATCTTGTAATAATCACTGCAGTTTTAATTGCCGTATATGTTTTACATTCTATCACATTTGATGGAAATTGGTGAAATTATTAATATTCAGAGTTATTTGAGTCGCCCTGTATCTTGAAAAGGTAGTCTATTCTTCAACTGTCCATGTTAATTGATAATTTCATGGTTCTCTTAGTGACCACAGGGCGGTTCAAAAGGTAAAAACATGGGTTGTTTCCATCTTAATTACAGTTTACTTTAATGTCAGTCTCTTTCACACCTGGGTGTTATTTTTTTTCTTAGCAGGTATAAATTGCTGCCACTCCAGTGCTAACCAGTACGTATATATCCATCAAAAATATTAGAATTATTAGGAGAATATGGATATCCCAGCATGCAGCTAGTGTTTTCACAGAGGTGATAGTATATATATATATATCTTTATGTCCATTTTGATGGCAAGTTAGAGATTCTAGCACATGATGTTAATAATAAAATATATATAATAGGAAGAAAGAGTAAGTTTCACTCTCGAATTGTCTCGATGGGTTATGGCCATGGAAGCTGAATTAAAAAATGGAAATTTATGATTATCATTCTTTAAAGAGCAACTTATATGTAGACTTGATTTTGAAAATAAAAGCAATACCAGGCGTTTTGGCACATGCAGTATATAATACCACTGTTCACTTATTTTGTCTTAGAAGTTGCACAAAAAGAAAACATAAAAGCAAAACCACTGAAGCTTTCAGCTTCTTTTAAAATGTGTTACAAAAAGTCTCGTAACAGTTGTTAATTTGATCAAGATTTATGTGTCCCAGGGCACATGTCCATTAAAAGGGCTTGTAGTGTAGGCGCAAGAGAACAAACTTTGCCTGTTAATAGTGTTACGGGCGTGTTATTACGTGTGGAATGGTATTTTTCAAAGTTACATTAAATAACAAATGCTGCCATGCTTCGAAAAAGACCCTTTATGAAATGCGTAATCCCTGGTTTGAAAGTTGAATCTGGGAGCAAGAGTAAGAATAGCATGAAACCAATAGTGACTGGTTGTAACTGACTGAAAAATAAACTTTGGTACCTTGAATCAGTTGGATATTAGACTTAATTGGCTTCCTGACAATAGGTTTTGTGTGTTTTTTGTTGTTTTTGTTCTGGTCTTCAAACAGTTATGTTACTAAATGGGTCAGCAAAGTTTCTTTGGGACAAATTCTTCAAACTGCTCTTTTTTTGTTCTGTTTTCCCCAGAGATTTCATTGGTAGTAATGAGTATTTCACGTGTGATGGCTACGTGCATGCATGGCCACCTTACGATCCAGACACTTATGTTTTTCTGCCTCGTGCAATTTGGAAATGCATCAGTTTTGTTCCTCTGAATGGAATACAATTTTGTTTTTTAAACTGGGTCGTTCATGCATTTTGGCAGTTTCATGTTGAAATTTGGGTTGAACCCTCATTATTTGTCTTTAATGCCTTCTAATTTGGCTTTATGAGCACTTTAAACAGTTTCTTTGGCAAAACATGTATTCAGTTTTTTTTTTTTTTTTTTTTTTTTTTTTTTTTTTTTTTTTTTTTTTTTTTTTTTTTGCACTACTGGTGTTTAGGTCCTCTGACAAAATCAAAATCTCCTCTGAGTAGCCTTTGACAAAATATAAAACTTTTTTTAACACACTGAATACAGAAAGTACTTTTATGACCGAGTTGTTACATTTGAAATATTATTAACTGATGTTCTACTCAAGTAATGTTTGAGTATGGTTTGCTTCAAGTTTTGTAAATATGTCTGTTTCCATATTATCTGCTTCCAGTCCTTGTTTTATCTTGGCTCCAGAATTCTGTCTCTGGGCACTAATTGCATTTGTTTGACCTTATTAGTGTGCAGAAGTCCAGAACTTTTGACTCTTAATTTTTTGTGGAGATCGGTTTCTGTTTCTTGATCGGATGTCCTTGGAAATATATTGAAGGTATTTAGGCACACCCTCCCCCACCAGCTCAAAAATTAAAAAAACAGAAAAAAAAGAAATTTGGGGTGGGGGTTGGGTTCGAGGGTGGTGGTTCCGGAGAACAACCAAGCTAGCACAAAAAAAAAAAAAAAAAAAAAAAAAAAAGAGAGAGAGAGAGAGAGAGAGAGAGAGAGAGAGAGAGAGAGAAAACCTCAAGGTTGTGGACTGCCCAATACAAGCATATCAGTGTTTTGGAGGCGGAGATTCAAACAGCAGGCAATCAGTGACCAACAGCTCATACAGAGATAACGATCAGAGTCGGATTCCAGCGGAGTCATCCACTCCACTCTATTATTTCCTGCCAGTGAACTTGTGTGATGCCACAGTTATGCTGGATGTGTTTGAATGATTCATTATGTAAACTCTATTGCCACCGCGTGATAACATATAAAAAGCTTTCACCTACAGCAATAGAAACAAATGAGACATTTTGGCAAAATAGAAAACACCTGCTTTTATTAATTTTGGGGCCTTTTTTTTTGCTTGTTTGTTGCTTAAATGAAGTCAAATGGCTCAGCAGAGAAGTCTTTGGTCTTTCTTTGTAGTGTTTCCTGAAATAAAGATGTGGGGTAGTATAACTATGTGGTCTATACTTGCGTGATTCACTCTAAAAACTTTTGTGGCTGAGTGTACTGTAGTCACACTCTCCTCTAGTCTGCTTAATTTATGACTTCACTATTGCTAAATGTTCCCGAATTCTCGGAGTTGGGTTGAGAATAAGGTGTCAGAAGAAACAAGGTGGTGTGGTATTGCCATGACTGCATTGCATTGAACTATTTATTACCAGCTCATGATTCATGTCATAAAAACAGTGAGCTCCTCATGAAATGTGCTTTATCAAAGTCAAGTTTGATACTAAGGCTGGTAGGAAAAACAAGAAGGCTGGGATAGCAAGGCTGTGAATCAAAAGGGTAGAGTTAGACTCCGTTCACATGAAAAAGCTTTTTTCCGAAAATCTATTTTCTATTCGTGGTATCTTGTGATCACTCCAAGCGCAGCCGAGAATTAATTACAGCTTTGGAAGTAACTGGCTCGCGCTGCCAGTAATTACGCCGCGGGGTATTCAGGGCACAGACCGTGATCACAAGATACCGCGAATAGAAAATAGATTTTTAGAAAATAGATTTTTCATGTGAACGAAGCCTTGAAGTTCTGTAATATATAGGGGGAATTGGTTTGTGGATTTGAAATTTATATTTTCTCTGTACTACATTGGCACCACATTATGTAACCATATTATGTGATTTACTGTTGTTTAGGTATCTGAAACCCTTCTCTCTGACATGTTGCAACAGTGTTTTGGAAACATGCCTAGAAGTTCCGTAGTTTACTGGAGTACTTGAGATTTCTGTCATATTTATATTCATGTTTTGGGGAGCGACCTTGTTGCATGCAGAGCATTTCCAGATAACACAGTTTGGCTTACGTAATTAGAGTCAAGAATTATATGATTGCCAAAACTTATGAACACTTAAAAGTTCAGGAATTAAGGTAGATATTTATTTTATTTTTGCTATACTTTGATGAAGACTGGTTACTAGTATGTTTTGTTCATGTTATAGGCACTTGAACAAGTATGTGTTCTTGAAAAAAAATTGATGCCTGTCGATATAAACTTGGAGACGGCTTCTAGCCACCACTGTTAGTATATACATATTGAACGTACCATTGCATGATGTTAGTATTATCAGCATGGCATGATTCTGTCTGTGTGTGTGCTAACTATAGAACCACTATGATGATTATGTAAGAAATAGACTTCGTTTCAACCATTCCATCTTGTGTTGTGTCTGAACTCGCCTAATCTTCCTGAATACTGTCAGGGGCCCCTCTGTACATATCTCAGACACCAGTTAAAGGTTACAGTATTATATTTTAGTCTGAACTTCAACGAGGAGTCTGCCCTTTATGTGGCATAGTCTGGCTTTAAGATGGTAACTTTGGCTGGTTTATGTCTGGTATGATTGTGTGATATACATCTATATTCAATGCTGATGTTTTAAAATGGATAGATAGTGTAATGTTTTGTTGTTTATAATAAAGTTTTTCCGTGTCAGTTATTTGCAGTATCTATGTGGAAGTTAAAAATTTTGCTCACTTTTCTAACATGTTAATATATATATATATCAACATATTTTACACATTCATTTTATTTTCTTCTTCTTTAATAAATACAAACAGCAACATTAGAAGTGGCATAAACAGCTAGCAATGTGAACATGTGACATTACAAAGAGAATAAATCATTATTATTTATTCCACACTATATTGGTTAAAATTGGTGCCAGTTTTTCTCAGTGATTCATGCTTCATTTTTGACCATGTTATTCATAGACATTACAAGAATAACTGTTGTATACTTGTGTTTTACAGATAGAAGTGGATTCAACGTAGAGCAGAAGAAGGACAGAGGATGGGAGAATTACAGCGAGCGCTGGCATTTTCTTTATATTGTCTTTATATTTCAACAGTGAGATCTTGTAAGTATAGAAGCTTCTTTCTGTTCTAAAGTTGTGCCTGCATAACAAATTAAATATATTGATAGAAATTAAGAACAGAAAAATCAGCAACGTAACAATAGTTAAATGTTTCACTTTTTAAAAAAAAAATTAAAATAGTCACTGGTCATATCGATTTAGTCAGATTTGCAGTTTAATCCATAGTCTTTTTCATTTTGAGAGTTCAAAAGGAATATACTTAAATTAATCATGTTTTGTATCAGCCAGTGGATGTGTGGTGTAGGCAGCATGATATTTGATCAAAATCAGACGACTGAGCAATAATTATATCAGATAAGCCATGAGCAACCTTTTACCCTTGCATGTCAGAGGAAAAAAGTGTGATATTTATCTCTTTTATGCACCCCTGTGAGTTGAAAAAAGGCCACAAAAAAGGCACTATTGTGCACAACAATGAAAACCTGTACCCCATTCATTTCTGGAATAATTCGACTAGAATAACACTGTGTTTGTGTTCATTCTTCAGTGCTGGAATTGTTAGTACTTCCTGTATGAATACTGGACCTGTTACTACTCTCTGTAAGAATTACTCATTGAAGTACCAGTGCTATTAATGCCTCATTGCTCACCACAAACCTCCGATTCATAAAATATTAAACTGCCCTCACAACTTGTCATGTGTGTGAAGTCCCCCTGGGGAGTGTACAGTTAAAACTAATCTGCCTGTCCAAAATAACCAAATGTGGCAGAAAAGATTTTCTTCTTAATGTCACGGATGATTAAGATGTTGGCTGCTTATCAGAAGTTGTGTAGAAGCTGGACATATGTATAAGACTTATTTTGGGTTAGAAAATCTGTCAAGATCAGATTACATATATGTAACATATTAAATATAGTTAAGTTTAGTTTAGTTTAGTTTATTTCACTGTAACATATGCATCCACTTGTGTGGATAAAAATGACATTATAAATACAATTTTTGTGAATATGTTATTAAACAATCACAATGAGTAAGAATATTTACTTATTTACTAAAAAAAAAAAACATTCTGTATTTAGAAGATGATTATCTGGTAGAATTAGGAGAACTGGGGTAATATTGCCATCTGTTCTTCTACATTTTATAATCAGTAAAACAAGAAAACTTTACACATATCAACCACTAGCATGTTGCTCTGAACCTGTAGCCATAGCAAGTTTATTTCCTCTGAACGATAATAAGCATTTTTTCGGTGATTCAAAATATGTCATCATCTTTTTGTTTATGTTCACAGATAGCAATCTTGTTTTCTAAGTCATATGCTTTCAAACATCAATTATTGTATTATTTTTTAACCTCAAATGAACAGGGTCTGTTTGCTGAAATAACAGACACATGTTCTGCATTTGAAGAACAAGATATGACTTGATTTATGTTTCTCATCTTATCTCCAGTCTTCTGAAAACAAATATGTTCTGTTTTCATTATCAGATGTTGTTAATTGTATTGTAAAGTGCTGTTATTTTCTAAATATACCAATCCACAGTCAGATCTGACCCTATAAACCTGTTGACAGCCAGTCATGATATGGCATAAGACATCAGTAAAAGAATGTTTTTCAACTGAAAAACCATCATGACAACATTTTGAAAGGTTTAAACTACCAGATGAAGTCTTTGTCAAGTTTTATGGGACAGCTCGGGTCAGAACAAGTCAATGTCTTTGTAGGAAATGCTGCCTCAGCTGTCTTGAAAGTGAACCTGGATCTTATATCAAAATAAAACTGACATGTTTGTCTTATGGTTGTTATCTTTTATTTTGAATCCAGCAAATGGTAAAAATAAAAACATTTTGTCCACAAGCATAACTTGCATCCAACATATCTGGGAAAAGTTGTAAAATTATGAATTGACTTGTACACATTCATATCAAGTCTCATAATGATAAGAGGGATAAATTTAAGAATTTTTTAAATTTATATTTCTACTCCATTCTGTGTTTTAGATGTACCCCCAGGACAAACTCACCCGCCCTCTATAACAAGACAGTCAGACGACCAACTGATCATTTTCAAGAAAGGACTGTCAAGACAGATAGTGTGTGTGGCATCTGGGAATCCAGAACCTACGTAAGGGTGTATTTAGCTGTCATATCTCTGGTGATCCCATGTGTTTCAAGATGTCATCTTTATAATTTTATATCTTTAATTTTTTTTATTTCTTTAGGGTATATGTTTGAATAAACAAATACTCTGTGAATTTATCAAGTCAAATGAATATTTTTGCGATTTTCGAATTTTATGTAGAACTTGCAAGACAAATTTGTTTGATATCGAAATTTGTCTTGAGATTTCAGCATGATGCTTTTGACTGAAAAAAAAATCCCCCTTGTATCTTGAATATTATTGTCAGTTTTTGATGTAACTAAATATTTAATTATATATAAATAATCTCTTAGATATGAGTGGACCAAAAATGGCCGTCCATTCAACCCCGAGGCCAATACAGACGTGGATCAGGAGAGGGGTCTGGGCACGCTGACGTTTTCTGATCCTGTCAGCGAGGACCAGGGGGTGTATCAGTGCAGGGCCATCAACGAGTACGGAACTGCGCTGACCCAGAAGGTCACCCTTTTGGAAGCAGGTGAGGCCTTGGGGAAATATGTGAATATGGAGAGGGCGGAGCAGGTAGGGGGGAGGGGGGGGTTGCTTGTCTGGGGAAGAAGTTTTCATGGCACCAGTAGCCTCATTTTCTGATGAAGGTGACTGGAACGGCATGGAATTCAGAAATATTCGACAAAGTTGTTCTAATTTTAGAAGTTATATATAAGAAATTGCTACTGTAATTGAGTACATAACACAGCAGATGATAGTCTTTATTATGTGAATATAAATGGATTTCTTTAACTTTAAAGTGGATATTCCATCTTAATTGCTTCAGTTGACAAAAATCTTATCTCAGTTATACATGAGATTACATAATGTGAGTTAATAAAAAAAAACAAAATCAAGATGCCTGGTTGTATTTGAGGATTTTTCTTTGCTTTTCCCAGTGATGGATCCATTTCCTGGAAACCCCGTTGTGACCCCCAAACAAGTTCGCCCCCCTGTGGGCCAAAGCCTAAAATTGCCCTGTGACTCCCCTAGGAGCATTCCTGCCAGCGACGTAGTGTGGAACATCAGGAAAGATCGTGTGCCGGAGAGTAGTAGGGTTACCATGGATTACGAAGGTAGGATGAATATTATAATTCAATGTACAAGGCCATTAAAATGTATGCAATAGAACAAGATAATTGTCGAATTGAGTTGAATTTCCATATTCTTTATGCCTGCAATTTTTATAAGTATAAAGTTTTGCCTTTGAACAATTACAGTGCTTATATTGCATTGGATTAACGCTACGAGAAATCTCCATTTTTCCAGGAAATCTCTACTTCGCCAATATTATTCCTGATGATGCCCAGAATGGTAAATCGTACATCTGCGCAGTGACCAATAACTTCATCAGGACGACGGTTCAGGGTGGAGACTCTCAGATAGAACCGCAGGGTACAATTGGTACGAAGATACCCATTAAACTATGTACAGACCTTTTTACATTGAGGGGTACTGTTTTCTGTACCGCTCTAGTTTGGCAAAAACAAACATGTAACTATGCATTGGGGGTGGGGTTGGGGTTGGGGGGTGTGTTGTCACTTTTACTAGCCCCAGTGTACCAGTTCAAAGTAATGTGGTTAACTGATAGTGTTGAGTGATGAGTCTCTTATATTATTGATCAACATACTATGCACATATGATGATAAAAACTAAATTATTTACCTGCAGCGCAAGCTCGTCGAAATTCCCCTGTCTTGCTCTACTCCTCGCCTACCACTATTATCAAGATGAGGGGAGAGACGCTGAGAATGAAGTGCATTTTTGGTGGATAGTAAGTAACAGATATGTTTAATATGTTATGTTACAGTGGAAAAATGGCAAACTGTTTTAAGTGAACTAAATTTCTGCCTGTAGAGTTGTTAATTGCAAATTAAATAAGCATGACTTCTCACAATTAAGTCTCATTCTCTGATTTGTGGCTTGAGTAAATATTGCCCTTTGCTGAAGTTTTGTTATAGTCTCAAGTCAAACTATTACCCTGTTTGTAGACATTTTTTACCGTGATAGTAAACACTTTGCAACAAGTTGCAGTATTTTCAGAAACTAACACATATCAAGAAAAAAAGAAAAAAATACAGAAATAAAAAAACAAACTTACAATTCCGCATGTTCTCATCAGCAAAATGATGCAGGGATGTACATATGTGTAATTATCTTCCAATCCCTCCTCTAGTCCCACCCCAACAATAACATGGCGGAGGATGGGAGGCAGTCCCAGATACCAGCAGTCCCAGCACGGCCACGAGATTGTCATCGAAGACATCCAAGAGGCGGACGAGGGGACGTATCTCTGTGAGGGAAATAATGGCGTCAATCCTAGTGCTTACAGGGAATTTCAAGTCACTGTGGAAGGTAAATATTTTTGATCTGACTAAGGCCCCATTCCGAATAGGGGACTAACTAGTCCGAGGGTCAGATATGGCCGACCCACTTGAATACTTCCCTATTCAGTGTCTATTAGAGGATTAGATGGCAAGCTTTGTACTAGGTTGCCGTATTTGGCACTCGGACTAGTTAATCCCCTATTCTGAATGGGGGCTGAAAAAGGCAAACAGATGAACAAACACACGAATAAGATTTATTAAGATACAGACAGTAGATGGACAGACAGACAGACAGTATTTTTCTGAAACAAAGTTATTAACCATGCACTAAAAATCAAGAAACTGAAAAAAAAGTATCAAAGAATATCAAACATCTACTTACTGAAATAAATTGGTATAATTTCCTTTGATCTCTTGGGGTCAATTTTTGCTCCATGTGTGGATGCTTTGTGAAGTATTCTGGAGAAAGTCTGCTCTGATTGCAACCAGGTGACAGGTGGTTTTATGAGGGTGTAAAAACTAGTTACAGTTCACCAATGAAATGTAGTAGGTTACTTTGTATACATCAGTTTAAAGACATAGCTTATGTTTGAGTTGTGAGTACACATATTTGAAATACACTCCATTTCTGTATATGTCTATGTGTACCTCCTCAGTAGCTTATACTTATGCTTACCGTATACAAAACAAAACATTAAATACATGTATATTTTTATCTTCTACTAAAGGATATTTAGTCGTCTCACAGAAAGGCAACATTATTTTGAGAGGTTTTGTTTTAGATATAAATGATAGTAAATTGGCAAGTGCAGAAATCTTAACTGAAATTTTTTCGATAAAATGGACATAGATCACAGTTTGTGGCACAATGATTTGTTTTTCTTATGCCCTTGGTATCTAGATTTTGCAGAAGTGGAATTATTAGTGTCTGTTTAACTTTTATTTATCATGGTAAAAGAAAGATCTGAGACAGTGTGCTCTGTAAGAGTAATGACATAAGGTGTAAATTTAACATTCAGTTAATTATTTTGTTCATTACAATAAGTTTATGGGGTGTATTAAATGAATTTTATGTTGTGTTAATTTAGGTAGGATGGAAATTATTATAACTAAAATTAGAAAAATGTGAAACTCAATTATGCTTGGATATTAGTTACATTCTATAGATTTTAAAGAGGTTATGAATTTATACTTTATTAAATACACTTTTGACGGGCTTTTATTACAGAAAGAAACTCAACAACAATGCTACATCCAAGTATGAATGCATTGAACTTCTGCATTTGTGCATCAGTAGTAGAAACATTTTTTGAATTAAGAAATATTTCAACCTACCACGGTGGCGATTTTAACAGCCCTTTTGCAAAATTAGGTGGCTGTATCAGTGTCGCTTTTCAAAAAGTAGTTTCTTTCAGATTTCATGAGCTTATCCCCTCTACAGCGTTGTATTGAAACATGGACTGAATATATTGCTAGTTTTTAGGTTTAAGATGTTAAACTGTTTCATTAATGTTCTTTCAAAAGTTTAAATATTGAATAGACCAAACAAGGATGTTAGGATTTTGGGGCTTGATTTTTTTCTATTTAAAATAGCATTTTTGAAGTCAAAAGTTTGAAACCTATCTTTACCTGTATTTGATAACTTTGCATTATTTGTTTGAAGTTGCATGTGCGTTGTTAACTTCTCACAGTTGGTGTTATACCCACCTTGCTTATTTAGACCACTTTCTCACGTTGATAGTTTGAAACCTGTACCTGGTTTGGTAATTGGCCGACAGTTAAGGTTACACAGCCATTTTTAAGAAAAGGTTGAATTAATTAACAAATAAATACTTTTTTTTTGTTTGTTTAATACTGCTGTTACATATATACACAGAACATTCATACTAAAAGATAATTTGTGTGAAACAAGTAGAATGCTTTTAAAATATCAAGTGAAAGTGAAGTGTATTTTACATGATTCAAAAATAATAAAACAATATAAAATACACTGAAATATCGTAGAACTTGGATATTAAGATTCTTCTAATAACAGAACTCCATTGTACATTGCAACTAACAATAAAAAAAATGAAAATCAGCAAATTCTTAAACTGAACCTAATTATTCATGCCTTCTAGTCTTGTTAATTTTTTTTTAATCACACCTACTCTTTAATTTCTTAAAGGAAAGCCTTACTGGATAGAGAAGCCTACGGATACCAACATTGAGGAGCAAGAGACCAAGATATTCAGGTGCGAAGCTGGCGGTAAACCCATCCCTAACGTCATGTGGTTCATCAACGGAGAGAAGCTAGAAGGTAAGGATTGGATGAAGATGTAGTTAAGGCATGCTTTGGGACACCAATACTTAGAGAGAATATCTCCATTGATTGCCTTGTTGTTAACAATGAATGAGAGTTGAAAGCAAAGGCTATAGGCTGACAGAAATTGTAAGTTTAAGCAGTCATGAGTCCTGCCTATTCAAAGACATACCTGTTGCATTGTACAAGACAGCCTTACTCTCTTTATTTGACATCACCAACACACTGAAATACTTCAGACACGGTTAATATTTGCCTTTTTCCTCTCAGATATCCCAGCAAGCTCTAGGAGGAGCCTGATCAATGGCGGCATGGCGCTCCAGTTCAAGTCCCTGCAGAGAGCAGACACCTGTGTGGTACAGTGCAATGTAACCAATGAACACGGGTATATCTTTGCCAGTGCTTACTTGAATGTGCTAGGTGAGCAGATTTTGTATTGGGCTGACTTTTAGGCAGTGTTCACATCCATTCTGTCCCCGGCCCAGCTAGTCTATTGATCAAATATGGCGTGCGTGACCCAATTGAAAGCATGCCGATATTTAATTGCTCTGCCCCTGCAGGGATGGCGCATGTGGGAGGCGAGAATCCATTGTCAAGTGTGCACCATATATGATCCTGGTACTAGCTGACGGATCAAATGGCTGTGAATGTGGCTTTACACTATCTCTGTTTTTGGTATTTGGGCTTGCAGGCTGAAAGTCAGTTATTGAAGAGGTGAAATATTTAACAATAGAAATTCTGCTCGAAAAACCTGAGGGGGAGGGGGGGGGAAGGGAAGAAAAAGGTTGAAAACCGCAGTTATAATACATAACTGACAATGATAAATCTTAAACTTTGATGAAAGAAACTTCTTGTCACAGTAACAAGGGAAGGGGAACACATCTCATGTTAAAACATGGCTAACCCATTCATCACATCCCATATGACCTTTGATCTTTGTAGCTGAGGCACCCATTTTCCTTACGGAGCCCCCCAAGTACATCAAGAAAGTGGTTGACCAGAAAGTTAACCTGACGTGTCGTGTGTTTGGTGCTCCTATCCCACAGATAACGTGGGAGAAAGAAGGTCAGCTTCTGAGTGGTGCCAGGCACACCGTCACCGCTGATGGAGATTTGATCATTGAGGTAGGAAAGCTGGGTGTTGGAGGACATGGTTTGGTTATGCAAGCAGGTCATTGTTTTGTTGTTTAGGCTTACATGTTTCCTCTGTGCACAAAATCAGTATAAGGTAAAAATAAAAGGTAAAAAAAATGATAATAGTTTAAAAAAGAAAATGTCTACGTGTATCTAAAAAATTTAAATATTTAGTTGAATTTTTTCGAAACCGCTGCAGAATTCACCATTCCAAGTCATTTGGAAAGAAAAATTATCAGACCTTTGTTTATTGGAATTGAGTGTTAATTGACAGCTTACCTGAGAAATACATCCTCTTAACTGGAGACTATTTATAGGAAAGGACATAGATTGAGATTCAAGTCCAAAACTGCTCAAAAAGTGGTCTGAAACCTTTATAACATTGAATTGGGTTAAATATATTTAAGAGGAAATGATGATAATGAGTTGAGTTAAATATTAAAGAATAAAATGATGATAATTTCAGGACCTGAGGCTTGATGATAGTGGTCACTACTTGTGTAAGGCAAGGAACACATACGGCAACATCCAGGCGTCTGGGGAGCTGGTGGTCCGAGGTGAGAATCTGGAAACATGGTGGAAATTTTAAACTTATCCTTTATGGGTGGTATCAGGCATTTATTTACTAACTTAAAGGTGTTTTCTTCAATTGTTCTCTAAGGCAAAAGGAAAAAATTATAAATGCATCAGTTGATAAGTTTATAAACACTTTGTTAAAGAGCTTCATTTTTTGCCAAATTCTTGCAAATATACATTTTTCTGATACCCAAAATTAGGAAAACAAAATAGAAAAATCTGAAAATTTTCATATGTTAAAAATATGATTTTTTAAATTTATTTTAATTTTCCTTTTAGAAAAAACCGTAATTGACAACCCACCTACAGATCAAGTTGTAGCAATAGGTGAAGAGGCTGTCTTGTCTTGTGGAGCTACTACTGATGCTGCAGAAGAGCACAAGCTGCGTATTTATTGGTTAAAAGATGACCAACCAATCAACCTAAACATAGACCGCCGCCTCACCCTAAGTAATGATTGGTCACTGGTAATTAACCCAGCATCCAGGAATGACAATGCTCGGTATACCTGTGTGGCAGGCAATGGCTTGGATGAGGACAAGAGAGAAGCTACTTTGACAGTGGAAGGTATGTGTAGTTTATGGTTTTGTATTTGATAAAAAAGTTTCCTTTACAGTTCCATTGAAAGTTTACTAATCAAGTTGCATTTTCACAGCTGATCAGATAGATTTTCATAATTAAGGACATTTATTTCATATTTAGGATCATTTACTGTCTCCATTATACTTTTAACACCCCAAAACTTTGTCATTTAACTAAAGATGTAAAAACCAGGCACAAAAATCTGCAAAAGGTAAAAAAAAAATGTGGAGAAAGAAGTTATGACAGTGATAAATACAGCAGAACAGGTATATCAGGATTTGGCACCACTTCATGATTTTATCTTTTTCATGGAATACAGAATGATGAAAAAAATATGATAGAAAAACATTCAAAACGTAAGAAACACTGTAGATGTCTCGTATCTAATAATCCTTACATACTATGATTATTGGTATCATTCACTGATTTTGATGCTATTTTTATTTAAGAATTTTAACTAGATAATAGTTTTAAAAGATTAAATCTTATGATAATGTTGTTTGAAATTAGAAACATTATCTTTGTTGATCTTTTATTGCATGCAGTGGAAAGACAAGGTAGAGTATATTAGATATAATATTCAACAAATATTTTCTGAGGTATATTATAGTAAAATGTCAGTGTATCCATAGTCAGCCTAAGTGAAGTATTAATCTTTACAATAGTCGTGTTTCCTTCACTGCGTTTCCTCCTTGAGTTGAGCTGCATAATTTCACGAGGTCAGATTAATGTATTTTAGATGGCATTTAATTCGTTAGCATACTATATATGAAAGGTAAAGATAAAACGTTGGATAACCTATAAAGTTATAAATAGTTATATATAAGAATCCAGTACTCAGCGAACACAGACCTCAGCCAAAGCAACTCAATTCTCATCATAATTAAATTGATAAACCAAAATTAAATTATATCTGATAGATTTTAAGTTTGCTCATTTCTGATTTATCCTTTAAGTTTTTGCCAAAATTTCATACCATATTGAGTTAGGCTGTCAAATAACAAACCAACAATGGCAAAACCATAACCTCCTTAGCAGAGGTGTATATGTAGTAATACAGATTTGTCACTCTCTGCGTTTCATTTCCAGCTCCCCCAGAACCCCCCACCAACGTTATTCTGAACAGCTGCAGCACCAGGTCTGCCTCGATATCGTGGACCCCAGGGCCGCCCAACAACGCCCCCATCCAGCAATACTTCATAGAGTACAACAACTCCAGGAACCCTGACCAGTGGCTAGAGATTAAGACCGTCAACGTGCCATACACCAGTGCCGTGGTGGAGTTGTTCCCTTACATGACCTTCAACTTTAGGGTCAAGGCCGCCAACAGAATCGGGACAAGTCAGCCCAGTAGCCATACTTCGACCTTGTGCCGCACCCCTGCGGATGTGCCAGCAAGGCAGCCTGGTAACCCCGAAATTCAGGACTACGATTCCGACTCCCTGTATCTTGTTTGGGACGTAAGTGTGCTGGTGGATGAGATTTGAAGGAAATTGAGTTGCTGATTCAGTGTAATGTGTAATTTTTCCAACTGTCTTTCTCATACTGTTGGTAGTCAGTTTTAAAAATCCATACACATGAATTATTTGAAGTACTTTATTCTCATTATGTTTTTAGATTATTACAAAAATATTTTTACATCAAAAAGAGTAATTAATCACATTTAATTTGCAATCAGAAAATTGTTTTAAGCTCTTTATGCCATTTTGTCTGACCATTTCTTTGGGTGAAATTAATCTTAATTATTAAAAAATTTATTGATTGGTCTAGTTTTGTAATAAATATCTATTTTTCGGCCAGGCATTGGATGAAACAGAACTGAATGGCCCAGGCTTTCATTACCTTATAACCTATCGCCGACTTGATCAGCCTAATGCCCCTGAAATGACGAAAAAGATCGACGATTTTACAAAAAAGGAGGCCCTTATAGAGTCAGAGACATACGTGCCATATGAAATCACAATAGAAGCTGTGAATGAAATGGGAACTGCCAGGAAGCCAGCGGAGAAAATTATTGGATTCTCTGGAGAGGGAGGTGAGGATGATTCTCAGATGTCCCTTGGTTGAAAATTCTTAGAGAGACCTCCCCCCTCCCTTCCCTCCCCCCCCCCCACCCCATGATAATCTGGGATAGAATTCCTGTTTTAATTATGTGCTTTCCTGTGTAAACTAGAACCATATAAATTGCCCTTATTTTAATTAAAGAATAAAGCATTGAAAGAAAGTGAAAAAGGAAAATTGATGATTCAAGACAAATTGTAACATAATGATGAGATATCGTAATGTTAGATAGTTCTTTCTTCCAGTACCAAATGCGATCCCCCAAAACTTCCGACTAGATCACAAGTACCCTCCTACGGACTCCACGGCCAACTTCCTGTGGGACGCCATTGATGCAACTCACGAAGCTGTGCAAGGATTCTTTGTTGGTTACGAGGTGAGATCGGAGCACAATTGATTTAAGCATGACTACATTTGTACTTCTTGGGACTTCTAACCATTCCATATATGTATCTGTCTGCAAAAAGAAAAAGAAAACAGAAAATTATCAGAAGACAAAATGCAGTTAACTTAAAAATCTGCATCAACTTGGGTACCATCTAATGTACCAGTGGTTTTTATTTTTTGTTTTATTTCATTGTTTACGAAATTGTACAGAAAATTTACAAAGTTATCTGGAGTGCATATTTTATTATTTTAATAACTGAAGACAAAAGTAATGCTGTTATGTGTATATCAGATGAAATGGTGGCCAGAAGACGACCCCAAGGACACCTCCGTGGTTGTCGTCCCCATCAACAACCCAAACAACGAGCTACGCGACCTAAAGAACAGGCGCATTGGGCGACAAGTTTTACAGTACGTATCAGGAACTTTGGAGCAGCTTCCGCCCTTCACGTCAGTCGTGGCACAGGTGGCTGTTAGAAATAAGAAGTACACAGGAGAACCCAGTAATTCCATCATATTCAGGACTGATGAAGGAGGTAGGGGGTCACATATTCTAAAACATGGTTTAGGATATCCTGTGAATGACCAAGGTTTTTGGAACAGTTTTGGGAGTTTATGAGTCAGATATCAGTTTTCATTTATTGACAGTGATATTTTTATTACGGTCTTTTGGTAATGGAGAAAATGAGAAAAGTTTCTCTCTATTTAATGTAATATGTCTGTTAAGCATCAACAATAGCCGCTGCTAAAAACCTAATAAACTTTTTTTTAAAGGCATGTCTTACATTAAAGTCACATTTTATTGTAGTTAGCATGTCTCTTTTGGAATTGTAAAATTTGGAATTTAACTTTGATCGAAGAGTTTTGTTTTTCCCATCCTATCAACTAGCGCCATCTGCTGTTCAAGACTTCAAAGTATTCAGGAAAGGTCCTGTCCACCTAGAGCTGAGCTGGGAGCTGCCAGCCTTTCCTAATGGAAACATCTTAGGATATGACATTGCATACAGAAATAGTAAATATTATTATTATTATTATTATTATTATTATTATATGAACATAGCATACCTACAGAATTAGTTTGTGTTGGTGAATATAGACATTTTAAATTCCATATCTATCATAGTGTATTATTTTTCTCTCATATTCAAAACGTTGCATGGGTATGTACATTTATAAATATAGAGATAAAAAGGCTTCAGACATGACAGTTACAGGTCTGTCCTGTTTGAATCAAAATCAAGTTAAAAATTTCAGTAGAGTAAAGTTATCAGATATGCTTCAGAATTTAACATTTTTATTAATCATATAAAAAGTGTGCTTACTGATTTCAATTTCTTCCCAACAGTAAACAATACGCGTAGCCGCGGTGATGACGTACTGGACACCACTAAGACCTTGTCCATAGATGACCCTAGTCAGATGAAGGTCAAACTGCTTGACCTTGACCCAGTTACCAACTACAGGGTACTGCTGTATGCCAGGACAGGCGCTGGGCGAGGAGAAGAGGCTGTTCTGGAGGAGATGACATTGGCGATGGGATGTAAGGCACTGAAAACATCTAGATTTAATGTTGTATTAAACCATTTACACACAGGCATTTTAACTGTTAGCAACAGTAAAATGGGTCATTATTTCTATGTGAGATGTACTGTTAAGGGAAATGCATTGTCCACATTTTTTAACTTGCTTGGAGAGTCAAAGATAAAATACTTGTAAAGTTTTTCTTTCCTGAGAGTGACTTAATTTTCATTTGAGGATTTTCACATGTGGATGTTGAGGCATTTTAATCTAATCAGTATGAAACTTTTACTCTGTTGAAATTTGTCTTTACTGGATGTTGGCCAGATCTTAGAGGAAGAAATCAGATGGCAAATCATACTGTTTAATGACAAAACCACTAAAATATCAAAAACCAACATTTTCATTTTCCATAAAATTTGAAATAATTTCGAATATTTTACAGTCCCAGAGCGGCCGGACCTGGTCACTGTGTCTGGACCCACCTCCATGACGGTCACATGGGTACCCGCTGACGAGAACCCTGGATATGGTTTCTATGTGGAGTATAAGAAACCAGGTAATGTCCCAATTAACACTTATTATTATATAAAATGCTGAATATGAGTGTGAATGCCCCCTGTTCTCTGTCTCTTTGTTTTCAAACACTTGACAAGAATTTCCTATAGGGTCCAATAGGAAATCCTATAGGAAGTTGACCCTTAATCCTAAAGTGCATATGTCACAGGCAGAATTCCTATAGGACCTCCTATAGAGTCCTATAGGATTACTGTAGAGGGCTGTAGGGTTCCTGTAGAGTCCTGTAGGATTCCTAGACAGTCCACTGAACTCCTATAGGACATATATTAAAATACTTTTATTATAGAATATACATATTACAACACTTGTCCAGTTCCTAAATTTTTTCATCCTAACACCATTTTTAGCTTCTCCTTATCTTCTATTAATATCTTCACTTCAGATGAGACGACTTGGTCAAAGACCCCTATTGAGACAGAGAAGGACTATATCGTCTTGACCCGCCTTGACCCTGCCACAGAATACGAGGTGCGTGTTGTTGCTGTGAATGGGGAGGGTTACGAGACACCAAGTATCATGAAGGCACCAAGAACTGCAGGAACAGGTACCTATTAGTTTTTGGAGCAGTTATTTTTCTTTTTGTAGATAAAATAAACATTATTTAAAGCGCTGTTTGGTTTAATTATTATTATTCAACTAATTTCATGATTTCAAAAGATTATAATGAATTTTAATTCAGACAAATGAAATTGGAAAAAAAAAAGAATTGAAAAATGTGTTTTGGCTCAGCATTTTGAATGAATGAATGTATGAATTAGGCCAAGTTACATGGACATCTAATTAAATATATTAATACATGAAGGGTGATCAAAATCAATTTCATGGGGTATTTCTCACCACGCCTTCAACAATTAGCAGGTGCTCTAATAGCCTGTCTGTGCCCATTTCTTTGCTCTTATGACCTGTTAATTTCTGTTTATTATTCCAGCGGCTGCCACCCAGTCTGTGCAGGAAGCTGGTTGGTTTGTGGCATTGCTGGTTGTCATCATTCTCCTGATTATCATCCTGGTGGTGATCTGCTTTATCAGGAGGACCAGGGGGGACAAGTACAATGGTAAGACCTTATAACGTAGATATAATCAACTCAGCGGGGACTCTTGCTGAGTGCAGTCAGCCTAACTGAATGACATGCCTCTTCTTGTTGCCAGCTTCTTCATATAATCACTAATAATTACGAACTTTTTCTGTATTCTACTTAAAATTGGGAAAGAAATTAATTTTATGACACATAATTTGAAACATTCATTAAACAAATGTTACAGCTTTGGTACATGGCAAATATCATATATAGTATAAACTGACCCAGACACAGTGATGATATACAGGTGTATACACATTATGTGGTATATATATATTGTATGGCATATGGATAGAAAAGGCTGATAATATGACAAATTTTTTCTACTCCAGTGGATGAGAAGGAGAGGCTGAGAGGTGGTCCAGAGGCACCTCCACCCTTTGAAGAATACAACAGAGGGTAAGTGAGGGGATCCCAGGCTGCAGTATGCCCTATGAAGATGCATGCAATGTGTTTATACTGAATCATCCGAAGCTGTTTCTTTGAAGACAGTTTTATAAACAGTGTTAAAGTGTTATGGATATTTTGCTAGAAATTGCTCTCATATTTGGTAACCTTTTTCAAACCTTTTTAAACAGTTTTATTATAAAAAGAAAATTGTGCATGACCATATTTTCCCTATATAAAAAAAAAAAAAAATCTATGCTGCAGAATTTCCCTGACCAGTCTATTTATATTGATGTATTATTATGTACATTCTGTGCTGATGGGCTTTGGATGGATTCAAGACTTCCACATCTTTTGATATTTCATTTATAATAAAACCTTGTGGTGTTTTAGGAAAGATCCCAGTCTGGTTGACGAGCCGATGGATGACCTGAAACCTCCTGAGAGTGACTCTGACAGTCTGGAAGAATATGGGGAGAACGACGTCAGCAAGTTCAATGAGGATGGGTCATTCATTGGTCAATATGGCGCCAACAAGGACATCAATCCCCCGCCATCACAACAACAGGAGCCAACGTCTCCATCTGCACTGTCAACTTTTGTTTGATTTTGAATTCTGGAAGAATAATCCTTAAGATTGTGGAAAGACATTCTGCAATCTGAAGATGGTTTCCGTCCATTTTGAATTATGAGATGAATTCCAGAATTGTGAAACTATTTTAAAGAACATTTCAGTGGGGTCTCTTGTCACTGTTTTCTTAAATTTATTGATTTAGAATTTGGCTGATTTATTAAGAATCCATATATGCTTTACATATGGAGATATTCTTGTAAAATATCTTTTGTTTTTGATTAAATTAAGGTATGATACATCTTACTGATGTGTTTTAAGTAAGACTTATACCTTAGTCGGAGAAAAAAACATTGAGAAGTATGAAAAAATATGAAAACCCACTGAAGCGTTCTTTGAAAGCAAAATGGCAACCGTGGTTGTGACAGTGTCGCATTCAAAATTTGCAACATGCCAAAACAATTTTTTTTTTTTGTATTTTTTGTCCAGAACAATGCAATGTACATTATTATCCCTTTCTGCTCTTCTACACAGATGTTTGCTCATTTGATGATAATGATGATGATTGTTTTATCTGTGTAACATTGACAATACACTGTGTACTTTAAAAGTAACTAAAAATGCACTTCAGAATTCACATGTTCTTTGTGTGAGTCACATGCTGTCAGGGACAGCTTTTTTTTTTTTTTTTTTTACTTTGACCATCCACTTGTAGATAGTGCTTGAAAAGTAACGCCCCAGTTTTTGAAATCAATATACAACATGCACTTTTTAATTTTTTCATGTTCTGGGCACTCTTGCATGAAAATGAATGTTTAGTTTTGTCTCTCTAAGTAGTTGGTTAAAAGTAGTTGATAGTTTTAAGACGTGAGGTCAGAAGTCTGGTAGATGAGTTATTTGGCTGATTAACTAAAGGTTGACACCTGTTATGCAAGTTCCTTGACCCCCAATATTTCATTTGAACTTAAATATTTCAGTTTTATTTGAAAACTGAATTAAATGACAATACAATCATCGTAACTAATTAACAGCAGATTAAGCTGCTCTTTGTTTTCTGTTTGTCCTTTGTTTTGTGAATGGAACTGTCCGAAATGCGGTGTCTTCACCAAATGTTTTTGTCCGAATGTGCTAGTTATCTTTTCCCCTTCTTTTTCAAATTTGAGTGATGAATTTCATTAAAAAGTACACAGAAAGGAGGTAACATTTAATGATATTTTCCCTGTCTTAGGTCTGGAGTTTGTGTCACATATGTTGAACCATAAACGTCAATGCAATATTAACCAGTAAGCTTTAGAACCTGCATATTTATGGTATATTCTCATCAGGTGCTTTGTATATATACTGATATGGCATTCTACTCGTAGGTGTTTTCAATTATTAATTTTATTTACTTCGTTGCTAGAATGTGACTTGTATAAATTATTAAACTGACCGATCTCTCATGCCCCTTGGCACACAAAACAAGTTTGTAAATTTTGTCTCTATGTGTGCGTATGAAAGGTGGATCCAGTCAGGAAATAATTTATGATATTATATATATATATACATATGTATGCAATTTTGATATTATCATTATGATGCATTATGACTTGTATTAATCTCATCTCTTCATAGATGTAACATAGCAGGTGCCTGCTTGCCTCATTACTAGAGGTACTTGTATGGACAGTAGGTATAGGTATGAAGAATTGGTAGAAAATAGACATTTATGTGCTTCATTTTACTGAGATTGAATTCATGTGCTTCTTGACTGTGCCAAGCATTGAATATGTTATTTAGTAGAAAGGGTGCTAATGATGACTAAGGTGAGGTTCCAGAAAGCATAATGTTGTGTTGACATCGGAAACAAGATATGATGGAATTTAATGTACAGGTATTTGTACCTACCTGTCAAACCTTGTCCAGACTTACCCATGGAAGATTGTAGAGTTTTTAGAGTGCAGTGAAGCTTGATTAGTTTATCTGCTAGGTGTAAATAACTTCTTAGTGCCTATATTTTTCATTAAGTATGTAGTAATAATGTTTTCAGTGTACCTCATTTCTTTTCTGTTTAAAAAAATAACATGCATCATACGTGTAGTCAGCATTTCGTGTACTCAGGATTTGTTGAAGTGTTTTCTTATTTTTTACAACTTTTTTGTATGAGAGCATGTTAAATAAGGGGTCATGTGAATTCCCTATCCTGTGGAGACACTCCTGGTGCCAATTAATTAGCAGGATTGCTAGGTGTTGACCACTATATTTATTTGGCAGTTATTGGTCATTGTGTGTCTGGACACTGGATCCTGTGGTGCTATAATAATTATATGTATGTCTGTTGTTTTGTGTTTTTCTCCATCATAAGAAAGTTGTTCTTATAGAGGTGATTATTCTGGTTTTTGAAATACTAAACTTTAACATGAATATTTCATTTCTGCAGTACAGAACCACAACGCATTTTTTTCTTTGATGTGAAAAAAGGCCTTCACACATTTTTTCTCTCTCAAAATGCATCCACATCCTGTGTTAGCAGGTACATTTCAAATGTATAGAGTAAAAAATGATCTGAGTGAACAAGTATTAAAATCAGAATACTGAACTGAATTTTTTTTCAGACCAAATTTATAATACAATGTTCTTGTTTCATGATATAGAAAAGTTTGTTCATAGAATTTATATTATAAATTGTGTATCAAATAGACTCCAACTGTACTTCTTCAAAACTGATCATTGGAAACTTGAAATTTTGAACTGTGTACATGTATTTCTTTGTTTGTATTCGTTTTGTTTTTGTGAATAAATGCTGAATTAGTCTATTGGCGTTTTTTTTTTATTATTATTCTTTTCTGCTTTTTCATCTCATGACAAATATGTAAGCGCTCATATCGGCTGCTAATAAACATATAGTTACATGTTAATGCTTCCACAATTTTCGCTAATCTGCTCCTTGGAAGTGTTATTAGTCTCTGAGACCTGCGCATAAGTAGGTCAAGTTAGATAGGAATCATGTCCGCGGCAAAATGAAAGTGGCATTTGACCGGGCACTCTTAACATTTTTTCTTTTTATGTACGTAAACTTTGTCGATTCAGGTAAGTTAAAGGCATGTAACTTATTATCATATTGTTTACTCCATTCTCAAATGATTCAAAAGTGACATAACTGAGACGTACGTAGGCTAAAGACAATATTATTCACTACATGTTGCCTCAATCTTTTAACATTACCTGCGGCGAAGTCGAGCTCGAATGTCATTGTCTCCTTGATCAGATGATGAACATAAGTCCACCACGGTGCAAAAGTAATACATAAAATAAATTAGAAATAATAAGATGATTTAGTATTTTAAAACAATTTTCGTAAAATCGCCATAGAGTATGAAAAACAACCAGGTGACAGGCGAGCGTGACGTGATTGTGTTAAGGTGTGAACAACTATTCAGTTTATTCAGTCTTTTAGCCTTCCCGCTTCCCTTTACGGGGGAGTGAGATCTTATCTACCACAATTTGTTTGGCAGGTGAGTAAACACAGTGTTTATCTGAGCAGTCGCATTGTTACTTCTAGTTGACCCACACTTGCTGAGGTGTAAACTAACTGCAGGATGAACTCATGGTTGACTGAAAAGTTATTGGTCTTTGCTATTTTCTTAATCAAGTGATGGTGGCTCTGCCATCATCTATATCTTCATGTAAGTGCACATATGCCAGCAGTATTCAAAATTTCCCAGATACAACAATTTTAATTTGACGTTGCTGAGAGTAATGTGAGATTTATAACTAGTCGACATCAGCATAGTGTTGGTTTTTTAAAGCTTTGGCTATTTTCATGGAGTACAATGGTCAAATCTGCACACTTCAGATTATTCTGTTCATATTTTATTTGTGAATTCACTTTGTTCCAGGTGCTTTTCAATAGCTTGTCAATGATTAACAGTGGCTCCATCTATTGCAGTTTCATAAAGTTGTCTTCTCTCTTGAAGATTTACGCATGAAGTGAAAAAGGTGATCGAAGCAATCATGTAAGTCTTACAATTCGTGTTTACACCCAAGTTAGATTGCCCCTTCTCAGTGTGACCCACCTCTTCAGAGTATCTCATTCAACGAGGCCTACAAATTGGCATAAAATGTTTCCATTACTTTTATAAAGCACCCGCCAACTCCAGTTGGCTCCTAGCACAAGGCACAAGGTATATATTGCTGTACCTTTGTAGGCTAGTAGCATGCACTTGGTATTGGAAGGGGGAAGGGGGGGGGGGTGAAAGAACTTCCCTTTTACTAGAAAAGGTCCACTCTGAATCAAAAGTTCTACTCTCGTAGGTTCAGTGTCATTTTTCAGTTAAGTCAACTAATGAGATAACTTGCATCTTTAAAAAAAAAAAAAAAAACAGGCCTTGTTTTTAAATTTCTTGCTACAGGCTGGGACTGCTTAGTGTAGTGGACTCAGATGCCATACAGAGATGAATCACACTGAGAAGAGGCAGCACAACTTGGCTGTAAACACACCTGAAGAGAAAGGTAATTCTATAGTATTTCGAACATGTAATAGATATTGACTGGAAATGCCAAGTCCTCAAAATGTGGATGTTCTTTTTTGTGCTTTTTGCTTATCCAGTGGCATTTTACATTAAAAGAGCTTTCTTTTAAAATTATTTTAGGGCTTAATTGTAAGTCCAGCATGAAATCTTAATTTATGGAGGATTATTGATATGCAGACCCATGAACTGTAGTGATGGTGAGGGGGGGGGGGGTCCATGAACATGCATACGTTTTATATTAAAATAACTTCTATTTATTTATTTATTTATTTATTTATTTATTTATTTATATCATTTCAAACAATCAATCCAGTCTATTTTGAGCATGCATGTCAAACCCTTTACTGATGGCAATCAACTGTTGATGGCTGGTAAAATGTTCTGGGTGAGAAGGCACACCTATGATATCAGCTGCCTCTGCATTTCTATGTGGGAGCTGCACTTTCAGCAACTAATGGCTTTCTACTTGATTCATTTGCTTTCCAAGCTGTTTTGGCCAATTTTTAGCTGTGATGCAATTAACATAAAGCCTGAGGCAGGGAAGCCCATTTATTTGAGGTGGAATGCGTGAGTCATAACTCCCTTTTACTGAGCTTGTTGTGAGAAAGAGCATTTTTTCTCCATTAATTTGTTTTCTAATTAACTTGTATATTTTTTTCTGATTTCACTCTTTCATTGCATAAATACAAAATATTGTATTTTTTGTCAATATCTTATTATTTGAGCTTAAACAACAAGGGGACCATCACATTTTACAAACCTGGAGCTTAAATGTTTTGATAAACAAAGGTATTTTGCTAGTGTGTGATAAAATCAGGCACCTGGTGTAAGCTGATGTAAGAGTTGTTGGAATAGCACACCCAAGCCAAATTCTCTAAATCTGAACATTTAGCACTCTTTGCTCTCTAACGGAGATCAGCTGAGCAATGATGTCTTTTTTAAAAAAATTATTTAGAAATTATTATCACAAAAATTTTTGCTGAGCAGAAATATGCACAGAATAACCAAATAATTATCTGTGGAGATCTAATGCAAAAGTCTCTCTCTGACCCTGGTAGAGGGTGTACATTTTGGGTGTATGCATGTGTATAGAGGCTCTCCTTTGCAGTGAAAATTGCTCGTGTTACATTGCGTTACTTTTTCTGTAGCCAGCTGAAAGGCAGGAGTAATTAACTTCTCGCGGCGGGGTACTGTACCTATACATGGGAGAGAGATTTGGGAGCTGCAGCGGAAAAAGGAAAACAACCTTGTTAAACAACTGAGGTGAGGTATTTGGCTAATTTTCTTTAATTTGTTCTTAATTGTTATTTGTTTGCTTTGGGGGAATTTGACTATCTCTTAGGCATAAGCTGTTTGACAAATGCTTAAGGTAAAATAAATAAATTTTTGATCATCCAATTATATTATATTGTTAATTCCCTAAAGGAAAAGAAGCGTTTGTAAAATGCAGGATTATATATAATTAACAGTGGTAGTTTTTGTCCTATTATTTACTATTAACAATATTAATTACAAAAAGCACATGTAAAAGTAGCAATAAGTGTTTTATGTTAAATTCTAAAGTATTGATTTTTATATACTGATATTTCAAAGATTTGTTAAATGTATGTTCAAAGTTGTAAAAATCCTAGTGTAGCTGTGTGTTTATTTGTCAAGTAGGTTTCAGACTTAAATACAGAACAGAATTTCTTTCTGGCTGTAAGAATTTAGAGAAAAATAACCTGAAAAACACAAAAACACAAAAAAATAAAATTTAAATTAACGTTTGAAAATAAGCGGAATTTTTACATATATACATATTAACATTACTTGATTGCTCAAAGTAGATGACTATCAAAATGCAGGTGCAGATATTGTAAGCTTAAAAGTAATCTACAACAAAAATACAAATCTGTTGAAGTTTTTCCACTCACAGGAGATAAAAGTTGTACTAGTGACTTTTTGTGTTCATTTCAGTGATTTTGTATAAAGGGACGTCAGTTTTCGATATATATAAATTAACACAAGTTATAAGAGCTCATAACTGTTTTATGGATTATATAGTCTTTAAAAAGAACTGTACTCAATATAATATAATTTATAACCCCGTCATTTGCGTCAAAAGGTCACTGAGGTACATATATTAGTCTGGGTATGTGTGACCTCATGTTGCCTTTTTACTGGGAAGGTCACATGTACCCCCTTTTACAGGCTTAAGCACAGTGGCAGTTTATGGAGTTTGAAACACGGTGATGTACAGTTGAGTGTTTTTTTGCGTGTTAAGTTTAAATCCAGATATTTGGGGATGCCTTCCCTTAAACAGGGGCAATAAACTGTCTTCAATCTATGGAATAATCTGGACTTTCATCGTTACGCTTATATTTCAGGCCCACTTGTCCTTTTCTTTTTAGATCCAATAATAGTTCATATTCTTTTTCATTAATTTTTTTTCTATTTCTATTTAATGCACCTCCCTATTCTGTTGGTTCACTGCAATTTGGATTTAACAACCATTTTATCTGATCCAGAAATTTGTAAGTTTTATAGATTAGGACAAGTGACTCATGTGCTGGTGGAATTAAATGGTTATTACTTTTCCAGATGGAACACTTCAATTCTTAGACAGAATTTTAATTTAATTTTAATTTTGCTTTTTATGTGATTCAGCATGAAACTGGCTCTCATGGGGTTCTAAGTGTCATGATTGTCTGCTGCTTTCTGTGAACACTAACTGTACAAGAGGCATTTATATTTCAAAAAATGATAGGGAAATAAGGATTAGTATTTTTCAATTTTTTTATGTCTTTAAATTCAAACCTTATTCTGTTTAAGGATATACTATTTTTTGTGGAACTTCTCTCTCAGTGCCCTAAGATAGTTGTTTTGCAAAGATAACCAATATGTAATATAACGTGATCCTTTGATTGTTGATGTGACACATTGTGTCACTTTCATTGTGTTAGTGGTGCACAGATTGTGATTGGATGTGACATTTAAAACCCATACTTGACTTTGGAGACATCTCAACAGTGTCTTTGGAATGGGAGATATAAATTTGCACATGCTGCGTAATTAGTTGTTTATTATTGCAAGATGACCACCTGTCCAGGGAGCTTGAAGATGATAGGCAAATGGATGTAATGCCAATTAATGTGAATAGACCCCCCCCCCCCGCCCCTCACCCCCAGTACCATCACCAAATGGGTGGTACAGTTTTGTCATTTTCCCATACTGCCCGCTCTGGCTTTTGTGGAAAATTCATACTCCTAGAGATACTATTCCAAATAGCTAAGGATTCCACATTGAAAATAATTAGCAAGCACCTGTTCAGGATATCAGTGATTGGGTGAATGGATATTAACTGTTGCACTTAAGAGNCCATCACCAAATGGATGGTACAGTTTTATCATTTTCCCCATACTGCCCGCTCTGGCTTTTGTAGAAAATTCATACTCCTAGAGATACTGTTCCAAATAACTAAGGATTCCACATTGAAAATAATTAGCAAGCACCTGTTCAGGATATCAGTGATTGGGTGAATGGATATTAACTGTTGCACTTAAGAGATTTTTTGAAGGGTCTTTGTGTTGACATGATAGACAGCTATGGTATTTCTTTCTTTTCACCTTCGTCTTCTTCTTATTTGCTATTTTTTGACAGATGTTTTTATTTAGTTCCAGTGATGGAAACTAGTTGGTTGTTGTTGTTTTTTTCGATTGTTTAAGCTGCTTTGTTTACTTAAGTTTTTTAACTTCTCTCTTTTCAGTCTGTTGTTTCATGATTTTCAGATAAAGAAATATTTTTACCAAGTGATGTAGTGAAAGGATTTAGTTGAGTTGAAAGAAACGGGGGAAAATAAAACAAAATAAGCTTCATTTTCTTTCTTGAAACAGTTTTTAGCCCTTACAAAGGTTACCATCCCAGCTAGGGTAATCATTTTGACTGTAATCTTGTTTATTAGGCGCACTATATAACAGCTGAGCATGGGGAGTTTAAACTGATATGTTTTATGTTTAAGTTTAAATAAACTTTGTTGTGTTACAATGTGTAATGCACTCAAAGTTCACCAACATACAGAGTTAGCATACTTCCCACGTCCTTGGGCAACAGAAGAACACAATCACACTGGCGGAGGTGAAACCAGTACCGAGCTATTTTAAAGAGTGTCATAAGCCATCTAGTGAATGATTAGAAGAGGCAGGACCCAGGTGGACTATTGCTGAGCTGGTTCATATCTAAGAATGTGCTTGATGACATGGAAGAAAGTACTTCATGACTGGTATATTTATTGTCGCTGTGAACCGACCTCAGTTTTGGGCCAACACCTCCTCATGGACTCCTGTCAGCTTTGCTTTTCATCTGCGACTTCCTCACTGGTGGCAGTAAAAAAGGTAAAAATAGGATGGTAAAATTTTTTTTATTCTGTTACTTCTTCAACCACAGGAAGTTGTGTATGAAGGAAATGGTTGTCGAGTAAGCCAAGATTTACATCCTAGTATTGGGATTCATACTACGAGGAGTTATTATAACAGCTAGCTACTGCCAGTCACAGACTGAGATAGCGATCACATTTCTGGAAGAAACTGAAGCAAGAAGGGAGCAAGAAGAGTGCAGACATGTTTCACACTGAGAAAAAAAGCTAATAGGTTGGTGATACTTGTAGAGAGACTAACATTGGTAAGTTTTTTCTTCAGCCTAAGAGGACTTGCATATATGTTCTAAGCAGTCTTATATGTATATAGTAAACCAGAGCGTTATCTTAGGGGATTTTAGGGTGAGTCTTAACATAAATGTTTTTCTTTTTTGTCTTTTTTTCCAAAAAATACATCATATTTTGAATTGAGTTAGTGCCAATCAAGTTGTTTGTCTCACACTAGTAGGTTTTAAAATTGTTGGTTATTCTTTTAATTCCATATATGTGATCTACTAACTACTTTCATTTTAGGTTTGGTATTTTTTTGTCCGTCAATGGTTTAAAGGTTAATTTGTGTTTTTTTTTTTTAGTATAAAGAGTAAAGTTTTGGTACCAGAAATAGTTGATTCGTCAAATTCCTGAAAGTAACACTAAACGGTACCTGAACAAGGATGGACCAGCTTTTCAATAACAAGGAACTGCGTAATTTCTAGTAACTGATTGGCAAATGCTTTCAAGTTTGCTGTGATGAAATACAGTGTTGTTTTCTTTCTTTTTTTTTATTGCGTATAGTATCTTGGGGCTTGTTGTTATACATATGATGTCCATGAAGTTTATTTACACAAACGGGGCAAAAATCTTGTTTAAAGGCTTCTGGTTGACTCTCTGCATGTTGCTGTGCAGTAGGATGTATAGGGTTATGAAAATACATGGTTAGGGCTTTGCTGTATTTTGGTCTTTGGCAGGCTTCATGGATACCTGATTTATTGTTTAAATACCAAAATGTCTTCCAATTTGTGGAACAGTAGGTCCTAAGGAGACACAGTGGGGAGAGTACATGGATTTCCAGTAATTCTTTCTTAAATCTTTAAACAAAGTCTTTTCGTTTTGTCAGTCCTCGTAATGTTATAGAAAAGTTTCTCAGGTAAATCTATAGTAGATTGTGCAGACCCATAGCCAGGGGGCTTGGGGGGATCAAAAGAACCCCCCTTTTTGCTGGGAAAAGGTCCACGCTGGGTAAATTTGATCAAGATAAACTAAGGTTTCATGACTAATTAAGGTCCACATTTTCAGAAAAAGAACCCCCTTTTTGCAATTGCTCCCTATGGGCCTGTTGTGAGAAGCAGCTGCTCAAAAGTCATCCTTAATTATATGGGTTTATATATTTTTTCCATCCTATTTTCGCACCTTTATCAGAGGAGTGCCCTAGAACCTCTCCTTTCTCCAATCATCCTTCCGGAAAATTGCAGGAGACTTCAAAGTCTTACAACATTCTCTCTCCTCTTGAGAAATGAAATGCCACTGCCATTCCATCCACTCCTGTAGTTATCTAACTTCTTACTTCCTCTTTCACCTTTGATAAGAAAAATAAGAATCAAGGATAATTTAAAGAAATTAGAAATTTATTTCTTTTGTTTAAAATCGTAGTGTTTGATTTAGAAAAAGAAAGATACAACATCTTTTCAAATTGCCAGATACAAAATGGTATAATTGTGAAAATGGTTTTATATTATAACTAAGTGTTGTTTGAAGACGTCCCACATATACCTCCACTGATATATCATATTTCAGACAAAATAGTCCTTTAATTCCCATTGTACATAAATTATGGGGACGGTGAATACAAACAAACAACAGCAAGCTAAGTAAA